TCTGCCAGCATTGGAGTTGCTGGTCTCTGTTCTTAGTTTTCCTCTTTAATCCTACTGCCTCCTGGACTAGCTTCAAGCCAGGTACGACCTAATTTTTCTTTGTGTTGCTTGGTTCTAGCGCTTTCTCTGTACTTCCTCCTGAATCGCTGCCCTCCGTGCCTCTAGATGGGCTACCACAGTGTCAAAGGACTTCCTCCTGAGTGTTCAGATAGTTCAGTTTCAGTGTACTGGCTTACAAGCCTGAGGTTTCTTCAGCAAATCAAATCCACACGTGTAATCCTGTATGTTTACGGCCCTCTGCCATGTGGCTTCTACTCTCCCTTCACCTCCAACTAGTCACATTTTTACTTCTTCATAGTCCTGACTGATAGTCACACGACGGTGGAAGTGTTCTGAGACACATCCCTTTCCTGTCACACATCTCCGCGTCCCTCCTCCACTCTCAGGTATGCATAGGACAGCCTCATTTATGTAGATTGATCAGGTGGACATTTACTAAACACAGGCTATACTGCTATAGATTGGCTTTTTCAGCAGAAGTAATTTACAAATGGTGGTTTGTTTCCAGGCTGTCTATCAGATGCTCACTTAGCTGATAACGCTGCTGCAGGACTAGATCTGTGTGTGAACAACAGAAAAAAGTATTACCTACACGTTTGAGGAAGGACCTCTTTGATTTCATGGTGATAGCCCATCCCTAAAGAACATGCTTGTTTAGAGAAGGAGAAATAGAAACTTGAGAATTTTCTTACCGTGTTTGGGAAACTTTATGGGTTTGGGGGCATTTTTAAAAAGTTCTGGTTATATCCCCCAATGTCCAACTTGCCTTTTCTGATGCTATTGGGTCATTAAATCCTTTACATCATATCTACTCTGATTTGCTTTCTGAGGGCACAGCTGAAATGAATACAGAACACACCAGGGAGAAGAATCTTCTTGTTTTTAAACTTTTATTTATTTGGGGGGCGGGGGAGTGAGCAGGGGAGGGGCAGAGAGAGAGGGAGACAGAGAATCCCAGCAGGCTCCACGCTGTCCGAACAGAGCTGATGCAGGGCTCCATCTCCCGAAATGTGAGATCATTACCTAAGCTGAAATCAAGAGACACTTAACCGACTGAGCTACCCAGGTTTCCCAGGAGTTTTCTTGAGATAGGTGGGCAAGAGCTAAAAACAGTGGTGTTGGGAGGAGAGGTCTGTTACGGACACTTGAGTGCCTGTGTGGGGGTGTTTTGAGGTGGCATTCCTGGAATTGTGAGGGAATGAAACAAGACCAGATGGAGTATGCATGTCATTCTTTTGAGGAGGAAGGGATGCGGGTGGAAAGCTGTCTGAGTGGCCTGTAAGGACTGTGTGCTTGCTGTCCAGTGGTCTGGGGTGTGGACAAGGTGTGAGACCTTCGAGAGACCTCTGGGGATGCCACTCAGCAGCAGCAGAGGGCACAGCCACGCCCCATGGAGGGTCCATGAGATTTCATCTGCTCAGGAAGAAAAACCAGGCTCTGGCGAGGTAGGCTTCTGAGGAATTAAATTCACTAACTGGTCCTGTTGGACAGACCGTAGCTAATATGTATTGGGCACTTCTTCTGTGCCAGGCCTTGGAGAAGCATTTTACATTTAATTCATTTAACAGCCCCATGAGGAAGCATATTTAAGAGGTTGTGACCCATGTAAGTTCCTCAGCCAGTAAATGGCAGAGCCGGGACTCCCCCCAGGTCTGCTTGATGCAGAATTTCCCAGCATGCTGGCAGGTGGAGGCTGTTTGACCAGTCCTCAAATTTTAGATGTGAAGATACAGCCCTGCGGCTTTGTTGCTCGTGACTGCGTATCTTCGTGTGGGTCTGAAAAACATACACAGTACAGCTGGGAGCACCAAAACCGGAAGTGTTTCTAGTTCCCCAACAGTTAAATTGTTAATACGGAGGAATTGTCCTAGAAGAGAGTGTCCCTGGAAAACTTCTAAATAGCAGGGCTTCCCTCTGGAAAACAGTGTGGAGGTTCCTCAGGAAACTAACAATAGAACTCCCCTATGACCCAGCAATAGCACTGCTAGGAATTTACCCAGGGGATACAGAAATGCTGAGGCATAGGAGCACATGTACCCCAATGTTCATAGCAGCACTCTCCACAATAGCCAAAACATGGAAAGAGCCTAAGTGTCCACCAACTGATGAATGGATCAAGAAGATGTGCTTTATCTATGCGATGGAATACTACATGGCAATGAGAAAGAATGAAATCTGGCCATGTGTACAACATGGATGGACCTTGAGGGTGTTATGCTGAGCGAAATAAGTCAGGCAGAGAAGGACAAATATCATGTTTGCATGTATAGGAGGATTAGGAGGAACTTGACGGAGCAACAAGGGGGAGAAGAAGGGCGGAAATGGTGGGGGAAAGGGAGAGAGGCAAACCATGAGAGACTCTTGAATGCTGACAAAAACTGAGGACTGATGGATGTGGGGGGGAGGGGGGAGGGGCATGGAGGAGGGCACTCGTGGGGATGAGCACTGGGTGTTATGTGGAAACTAATTTGACAATAAACTATTTGTAAAAAAAAAAAATAGCAGGGCTTCTAGAATTTTCATTTAAATTCTAAGATTTATGTTCACATTTCAGTAGCATTTTTAGGGGTTCAGCCCTTGCTAGTTACATATTTAAAAATGTGTTTTAGCAGTTATTTTTGAAAGGCAGAGCGAGCACAAGTGGAGGAGGGGCAGAGGTAGAGGGAGACACAGATTCTGAAGCAGGCTCCAGACTCTGGGCTGTCTGCACAGAGCCCGATGCGGGGCTTGAACCCACAAATCGTGAAATCATGACTTGAGCTGAAGTCAGACACTTAACCGACTGAGCCACCTGGGGGCCCCAACTAATCACATAGTCTTTTTTTTTTTTTTAATATTTTATTTATTTTTGAGAGAGAGAGACAGCATGAGCAGGGGAGGATCAGAGAGAGAGGGAGGCACAGAATCTGAAACAGGCTCCAGGCTCTGAGCTAGCTGTCAGCACAGAGCCCAATGTGGGGCTCGAACCCACGAACCGCGAGATCACGACCTGAGCCGAAGTCGGACGCTCAACCGACTGAGCCACCCAGGTGCCCCAACTAATCACATATTCTTGATGAGGTGAGGAGGCCATCCAGTATAGTACCAACATCCTTTGAAAGGAGACTCCTAAAACCCAGAGGTTAAAGTTAACTTTCCACTAAAGTGGAGACTACCATATTCCCCTTTAGAAGTTCCTGAAAGAAATTCTAAAGTTTTCTAGGAGATACCAGGTATTTAAAAACGAAGTGTGAGTAGAGATGTTCAAAGCTAGAAGTGGTTCTGGAAACTAGCAGGGTGGCCTGAGGTGGTGGTGTTGAGGACTGAGACTGTCTGGGATTGAAAGCACGAGTGCTTGTTTCTGGATCCCTTCAGTTGTAGGAGACCAACCTGCCTGAGCAACTTGTAGGTCCCTACCGGGGGTGCGGGTGGGGGTGGGGTGGAGCACTGGTTGGAGGACTGTTGACGTCTGACCTTCAAAAGCCAAAGTGTGTTATCTTCCTCTGGTCCGTCTCAGCCTGGAGAAAGGAGTTTGAGCATGGTTGATTTTGAGCCAGGCTCTAGGGGCAAGTAACTTTGTGAACTGGCATTAATGGGGCTAGCCGTGGCTGAGGGGAGGGATGGGGGCCCAGGATTTGAGCCCTCGCTTCGTTATTTCTGACTGAGGCCTTATCCTGTTTCACATTTGTCATCTGTAAATTCATTCTCTCCCTCCCACCCTCCCCTCTCTCTTTCTCTCCCCCCCCCCCCCCCCCCCCCCCCCCCCGCCCCCTTCACCAGGGTCTTGTGAATTCTGATTTTTGCCATTACTGTCCTGTGTGAGAAGTAATTGCTTGGGGCTTAAAATTTTGCTCTTATTTTAATTTGGCATCCACAGTGGGACCTATTTGAGTGGCTTAAGTAAAGCAACGTGAGCCATTTAACTAACTCTTTGTTACTTGGGATCTGATCATTTAATTTGAAGACTTTTAGGACTTCCTATCATCTGCTCTAATAATACTTAGAATATAGACATGGCTCCCTTAAGAGAAAGATCAAGAATAGCAGAGGCTTAAACAACCGGAAGTGCATTTTTCTTTCATGTAATAGTCCAGATATAAATGGTCCAGGACAGTTTTGGGGGTGGGGTGTTACATGGAGTTAGGAATTGAGGCTTCTTGATCTTCTTTTTCCACGTGGCTTTCCCCTCTTGTCCCAACATGGCTGTTCCCACTTTTCCCAGCAAGGAAGGGGATGACCATTGCCTTGCAGCCAGGACTCTTCAAATGCCCACACATGGCTACACTGTATAGTTGAGCTTAGCATCCCTCTGTTCCGATAAAAATTCCGTTCCGTTCTGTGTAAGAAGGGAGACTAAACATTGTGGGGTGGGCAGCTAGCAGCGTCTGCCACAGCTGATGGGAGTCACAGTATTCGCCTCCCTTAAGAAGTTTACACAAGATGGAAGACCGTTTTCATTCATCCATTCATATAAACAACTTCAGATGACCTCTGAAGGGGAGAATGAGGAGGTCAAAGCTGTTAGCTTAGACGAGTTGTAGAGATCTGTACTTTTTTCTATTAAGGGTTTGAAGCCATTTATTATTCATGGAGCACAAGTCCCTTCTTGCTACCTTCCACACCCCATGTTGGTTACTGGGGACTCAGTGAATCGTTGTCCCTGCACTCCAAAGGCCCACCCCACAGGGGGAGGCAGGCGTGTCAGGCATTGAACACGTGACACTCTGTGTGCACTATGATGGGAGGCAGATGGAGTGCTGTGGAGCTTGCAGGGAGGACCTGCCCAGCCCAGGGCAGGCAGGGCATGTGCATGTTGGATGCAGGATGCATATGGTCACTTGCAGAAGGAAGTGTGACTGGGTTTATATCTGTATCACCTTAACTAGTGATGGGTCCTTGGGAGAGCAAGTTCCCTAGTGTCATACCCATGGCTTAATGGTTTTATTTGTTTCCCTTCTTAGAAACTCGCATCGTGTCTGCCAAGATCCTTCATCACAAGGAGCAATGCTGCCCCGATGGGAACTGTCTTTTTACCTGGTTGCTTCACTAGGCTTCCACTTATATTCTTTCTATGAAGTTTACAAAGTGTCCAGAGGTAAGACACCAACTTTTCTGAACGTCTATCAATGAAGGAGGAAGGAAGTACTTAGAGATAGAAGATTCAGGAAGATTGTCCAATGAGCTCAGGATGACTTGGACCCTGCTTTGCTTTCCCTTGTCTGGGACACTTTGAGTCCATGACCTGGATCGATGCAGTTTTTCCCCCGAATCCTGGATCTTTTGAGGGGATCCTATGGCTGGTCTTCTGTAATAGAGTCAGTGGCTGTTGAAGGCTGTGGAGGTGATCTGCAGTAACCTTCTCCATTTCTTTTCCACCACCATTGTTCTCAAATACGTGGAGGCAGCTCGAGGTGTTGAAGGCCCAGACTCCTTTCATCCTTTTCTTCTTCTGTGTTTAGTGCTTTTGTATGCTTGTTGAAGAATCACCAGTAAATCTGCATTCCAGCCCATAGGACTGGGGATGGGAACCTTCGTGTCCTTTAGGGAAGCTTGGCAAGTTACCCTCGTCACTTCTCTCCCCTAGCTGGCCAGCACCAGGTTCTATGGCCACAGCTGGGAGGGTGGGAAACATGGTCTTCAGCTTGGTGGCCATGCGCCACTAAAACTTCTCCTACTTATGGAAGAATGGGAGACAGAAATGTGGAGGGACCAAGATGGTCCCTTGTATAGTCAGGGACTATTTCCTAGATGATGGTAATTATTGGGCTTTGTCATAAGGCAGAACAGGAGCCAGCAAGGTAGAGAAGGTGTCAGAGGATCTGTGGACAGAGATGGGTTTGCAGGCAAATGGACAAGCCTTTGGGGTGTGAGGAAGCATAGCCTACAAACCCCTTGGGAGGACAGGAGTGTAGATTGTGAGGGGACAGTGGCAGGAGTTGACCCTAGATCAGAAAGCAGGGAGAGACCATGAATATATATCTGGGCAGTTTGGACTTTATCTTGAAGGCAGGAGAGTGTGCTGAAAGGTCACTTAAAATGGTAGAGGTGGGTTTTGGGAAACAGAGTTGAGAGTGCTCTGCCCTGAACACCTACCCCCGTATGTATTGCTGGGACTGATCTGGACATGCATCGCCAGGATTGGTTTTTCTACTTTTCTACATATGTCCTCATCACCTAAAGTAGATGAAGACTGTTCTTCTGTCAAGTCTGGTCAAGTACTTGTATTCCCCTACACACACACATAGGTGCTCACGCACACACACTCATGTATGTATGTGTGGTCATCTTTGGTGAGGTGTTCAGGTCTTTTGCCCATTTTCTTAATTGGGTTGTTTATTTTCTTTTCGAATTTTAATAGTTCTTTGCATATTTAGGATAATGTCTTTTGAAAATATTTTCTTCCAGTCTGTGGCTTGTCATCTTATTCTTTTGACGTGTCTTTTACAGAGCAGATATTTTAAATTTTGGTTTAGTTTACGAATTGTTTCTTTCATGCATTGTGTTTTTGGTATCTAAAAAGTAATTCCCATAGCCAGGGTTATCTAGATTTTCTCCTATGTTATCTTCTAGGGATTCAGTAGTGTTGTATTTTGTATTTAGATCTATAAGATCCATTTTCTGTTATTTTTTTTGTGAAGAGTATAAAGTCAGCATCTAGATCCAGATTCAGTTCCAGCACTTGTCGAAAGAATATCTTCTCTACTGTAGTACCTTTGCTTCTTGTCAAAGATCAGTTGACTATTTACATGGGTCTTTTTCTGGGTTTTCTATTTTCCATTAATCTATTTGTCTATTCTTTCATCAACACCACAGTGTTTTGAGTACTAAGGCTTTATGGACGTCTTGAATTTGGGGGGCACCTGGTTGCTCAGTCAGTTGAGCTTCTGACTTTAGCTTGGGTCATGATCTTGTGGTTTGTGGGTTCGAGCCCTGCATTGGGCTCTGTGCTGTGCCTGCTTAGAATTCAGTGTCTCCCTCTTCCTCTGCTCCTCCCCGGCTTGTGCGCGTTCTCTGTCTCTCATAAATGTGCATTAAAAAAATTAAAATGGACTAAGTATTCTTAAGTGAGTCTTGAATTTGGGTGATATTAGTCCTCTGCCTTTGTTCTTCTCCTTCAATATTGTGTTGGCTATTCTGGATCTTTTGCCTCTCCATATAAACTTAGAATCATGTTGTCATTATCCACAAGAGAACTTCCTGGGATTTTGATTTGGATTGTTTGACTCTACAGATGAAGTTGAGTAGAAGTGACATCTTCACAATATCCATGAACATGGAATATCTTTTTATTTCTTTCATCAGAGTTTTCTAGTTCTCCTAACATGTATTTTGTTAGATTTATGGCTAGATACTTCACTTTTTTGGTGTGCTAATGTAAATGGTATTCTTTATTTTAAGTTTCACTTATATGTTGCTAATCTGTAGGAAAGCAACTGACTTTTGAGTATTTATTTTGTATCTGCAACCTTGCTATAATTGCTTATTAGTTCCAGGAGGTGTGTTTTTTTTTTTTTTTTTTTTTGGTAGACTCTTTGGATTTTTTTCATAGATACTCCTATGCATACAAAGTTTTATTTCTTCTTTCCATTTTGTACACCTGTATTTTCTTGCATTAGCTAAGACTCCCATTATGATACTGAAAAGGAGTGGTGAAAGGGGACACATTTGCCTCTTTTCTGATCTTGGCGAGAAAGCTTTCTGACCATTAGGTATGATGTTCACTGTAGGTTTTTTGTAGATCTTCTTTATCCAATTGAGGAAGTTCCCCTCAATTTCTAGTTTGCTGAGAGTTTTTAATCCTAAATGAGTGTTGGATTTTGTCAAATGCTTTTTGTGCATCCATTGCTATGATCACGTGGATTTTCTTTTTTGTCTTATTGATGATATGGATTACACGAATTCATTTTTGTGGTCTGTGAGACTTTGTTTTTAAGACCCCTCTCCTGGACTCAGCAGGGCAGGCTGCTCTGTGTGTTAGCCGGGACTGCAGGCATCTGGTGGCTCACTCACATGGCTGGCCAAGGCGTCAGTGGGCGGCTGTCAGCTAGTGTGCAGAGCTTCTGTCTGCATGGCTCTGCACACGGCATACATTTCTCCTAACAGTGTGGCTGGGTTCAAGAGGGAGTATTGCAAGTGCACAAAAGCAGAAGCTACAGATCTCTTGAGGCTCAGCCCGGGAGGTTGTACGGTTCATTTCTACCTCATTTATTGGTCAACGCAAACCACAGCGCCAGTCCAGATTCAGGGGGAGGAAAGGCTATCCCTCCATATGGCTGGAGCAGCACACGTGCATGGGATTTATAGAGGTCATCTTTGGAGTCTCTTTACCATAATGGGTATTACACCTCTGTACCCAGATGAGGATGCAGAGGCTAAAAAAATCTAACTTGTCCGAAATAACACGTCTAATAAGTTCTAATGGAACTGGGTTTAAACTCCGATGTGTCCAACTCCGGACCCAGTATTTTATCCTATTCTGCCACTCTTATTTTTGATAATTCCTAAAGGACCTTGTTTTAAAAGAGGAAGCTCTTCTATTAAAACTTAAAATTGTATCCCACTGGAATAAAATGTTTCCTCTTTATGTGATGGGAGCTGTTGGGGTCAGGGTGGAGGGATTCCTTCTGTGGATAGCACGAAGCTTTTCTGCACCTCATCTGATCCTGAGGTGGTCATGCTGTGTGACTTAGTGCCCACACCCTAGCCTGAAGCTTCTTTGATTCTCTGTTTTTCCTTTAAATGTCAGCGCCAAAGTATTTCTCCGGTTACTCCCAAGAAGTGTCTTCTTTCTCTAATACTTTTGCCAGTTCAGCTCCTGGAAGCCAGATCCCTCTGTCTTGCCAAAGTGTGTTTAATGGTGCAGTGTTAAGTCTTCTTGGCTCCATGTCTTAACTGTCTAATTTGGGGGAAGAGTGCTATTTACCCACACGATGGAAGTAGGTCACTGGGAGACTGTCTCTTCTGTAAACTTTTTTGGGACATCTGTATCTGGAGCAAATACAGTGCATAGAACGTACCCGTTAAGCGAGATGCCACCAGTGGGCATCTGCACAGCTGCCTTCTCTGGGCACGGGGCAGGCACCTTCTTCACGCACTGTCTGTGGAAGCAGGGTTGCCAGGCCATTAGGGACAGTAGACTGATTTTAATGGCCTTAGTCAAATGGAATCTTCTGGTAAATTCACAGCAGGGACTGAACAGAACACCCCGTCTTCCTCCCAACTCTACCAGGCGTAGAGCATCTCCAAGTCCTATGGAAATACTTGCGGTGGGGTGGGTGGCGATCTGCTATGCTTGGTGACTTCTCCCCTGGCGCTTGGCTGTGTGGTGGCTAATCCAGACCTATTGCATTCAGTTTATGCCCTCGTGGTTCAGTAGATGTAGAAATGCGTTTATGTCTCTCTGCGTACACTTCACAGGAAGGAAGGGGATATGCCATGTGGTAGCCTTGTTAATGGTTACACTGAAAAGAGGACCATGTATTTTCTTATCTGTCTGATGCAGTTCTTGAAATGAAAACAGTTCAGTTATCTGTGAAAACCTGAATGCTAGGAGATCACCTGGGAAAACATCTGGGAGGGTGTAAGTCTTAGACTCCTGTTTCAATTTATTTATTGGTTTATATTCAAATTTCTTAAACCTATTTTGACATGTTGTAGCTTTCCGAGGATCTATACATTAATGGAGGTTTTCAATTTGATTAGTGTATTGTGGTTCATAATAATTTAAAAATGTTTCTGTGGTTTGCTTTTCTCTTATTGTGTATTTTGTTTTTACTTCTGCTTCTTCACTGTCTCCCTAATTTCCTCCCTCCTTCCCTTCCTCCTATTTTTTTGCTTTGATGGATTGTGCCAGAGAGCTTATGAATCTTGTCAGCTTGTGGCTTTGTTAGGTTTTTCAGATGTATCCTTTTTTTTTTTTTTTTTTTCCAGTTCACGGATTTCTTTTTAAAGTTTTTTTTTTTTTTAAATGTATTTATTTCAGAGAGAGAGAGAGAGAGAGAGAGAGATGGGCAGCATGAGCAGGGGAGGGTAGAGAGAGAGGTAGACACAGAATCTGAAGGAGGCCCCAGGCTCTGAGCTAGTTGTCAACACAGA